GATACCTTGAATCTCAATCGTTTTTGTTTTTTGTACCAGGGATCGAACTTGGGTCCTTGCACTTGCGCAGCAGGCAGCGAAACCACTGAGCTAAATCCCTGGCCCTTGAATCTCAATCTAATACATTTTTTAGCCTTTTCGCATCCATGGAATCCTTTTAGTCCACAACCGGCAGTCTCGGTTGGACTTCTGGTGTGCACCCTCCAGCCAGGCACTCTCTGGGCCCCAAGTTACCAGTCGCTACCTTATTATTCTTCCGTGCTGGGGACAGAACGCAGGCCCTTGAGAGTTCTTACAAGTTATAGCAAGAGAAGTGAGTCCCCTGAGTGCAATGCACAGGCTGGTGCTGTAACTGCAGGGATAGACCTCAGAAGGTAGCTTAGTATGGCCAACAGTGAAATCTGTCATTTTATGTATGCTTGCATAACACAGGTTGGTAAAGCAATGCTTGGTAAATACAAAGTGCTTAATCAATACTTGGTAAGAAGGTCAGCTTGCCCAACTAGCCTCCCAGTGGGCCAATTTACATACACACCCCCGCCCCACAACAGCATCATGGAGTTCGCCCTGCTTATCTTTCTCTCATCTGAATCTGAGCAGGCCTCCCCTCACTCTAAGCCCTTGTACAGCTCCCTATTGCTCTCAAGATAATGTCCAGATTTGCCAAATACCACTTAGATTACAACCTCATGAATTCTGGAATTGATGAGGTGGGGTTCTTTTTGTTTTTTGTTCACTTTCCTCCTAGACTTTGGCCTCAGGAGGGCCGGGATGGGATCTGGCACACAGTAGGTGCTTAATAACAAAAGAACCTCTGTCATTAGCCCTCATGGACCTCAGCATCATATTCTCCACCAAGCCTTCCTAGCCCATCTGCTGTCCATCCTGACATGGAGGACCCCTGAGCCTTTCCCCACGATGGACCCTTCCACCCAGAAAGCCCTTCCAGGCAGCAGCAATTCATCTTCCCATCCCTCTTCCCAGCTCAGCCCTGGGGCAGGGGGTGCATCCCATCTGTGAGCCTCCGAGTCACCAACTGTCATAGATGAGCTTTTGAGATGAGACTATGGCATTTTAGCAAAACTGCTGGCAAGGTGGGAAGTAGCATAGGAAATCAAGTGATTTCCCTTCCAGCCTGCTGTCCCCAGAGCCCAGTGCCCCCACCCTGGGCCTCAGGACTTGTACACAAGGACTTTGATGCCCACCGGGGCAGGCACTATTTGCTTCAGCACAAGCTGTGTCTGTCTTCCCTGTTCCCCTATCAAACTTCCCAAGGCAGCCAGGAGCATGGTGGCCTGCAGCTGTCATCCCAGCACTCTTAGGAGGCTGAGGCGGGAGGATCACCATGAGTTCCAGGCCAGCCTGAACTACATAGTGAGACCCTGTCTCAAAAAACAAAACAAATCAAACAAAAAAATGTCTACGATGGTAAATCAGACGTTATGTGAAATTTACATCTATTTTTTTAAACGGTATAAAAAAAAAAAAAAGGTATATGATTCTTTGTGTAGTCTCTCCCCATGAGGAGTGACTGCCGCTGTGTTGTCACTGCTTGCTGCGGCCCGATGACCAGCACTGTCTGTGTCTAATAAGCATTTGTTGAAGGGATAAACAAATGTGTGTATCTGCTGTTTCTGCAAAAGAACACATTTCTCCAACTTCCAGGCTCATCAGAATGCCAAACACAGGAATTTCAAGCTTGCTGCTTGGGAATATCTCTGGCCACATCCAGCTAACCCTAAATCTAGCCTTGTTTCTAGCTTGGACACCAGAGCGGATCAAATATACTTGGCCTTTAACCATGAAAGGAGGAAACTGAGGTAAGAGCCAGCCCTTTAGCAAGTAAAACTTTTATTAAATAAATTTTTAGTT